CGGAGCCTGCGGGAGGCCGACGCCGGGGCGCCTCGGCCAATCGGGAGCGGCCATGCTGCGAGGCGCGGGGCGCCATGGCGACGGGTGACGCCTGCCTCCGTTGCCATCGCGACCAGAGAACGCGCCGGGTCCCGCCGCCCGCGGGCCGGCAGCAGCGGCGAGCGGCGTGCCCCGGGCGGGGGGGCGGCCGCTCCGCGGGGACCCGGGGGGCTACCTGTGGACGGGCCTCCTACACGCCGAAGATCCTGGGCTGTTTGATTCCGAGGGTCGCTGTGGGCTGAAGAATCAAATCAACTCTCTTCTAAAGCAAAGATTTAGCTGGATAAGGAATCAAGGCAACGCCGTGAATACCCTTCACCGGACACGAAAATATTTTCAGCTACTCAGGCGCAATGAGGATAGGGTGCTGTGAAAATAAATGTGTCCTGGGCTTCAAGAGATCTGTAGGATACACCTGTCACACCAGTCCCTTCTGTGGCCTCGAGCAAGTTACTTCACCTCTTGTGAAGATCTGAAGCATCTTTGAAAATGCTGAGCTGCATTAGATACAGTTTTAAAGATACTTGATATTATGCAGGTTTAAAGAAAATAAAACTTCTGGTCGGGTGCGGTGGCTCAGGCCTGTAATCCCAGCACTCTGGGGTGGCTGAGGAGGCGGGGGGAGCGTTTGAGCCAGGAGTCTTGAGACCAGTCTGGGGAGCACAGTGAGACCTCGCCTCTACAAAAACTGCAAAAATGAACTGGCTGTGGTGGCGTGTAGCTGTAGTTCCAGCTACTCAGTAGGCTGAGGCGGGAGGATCGCTTGAGCCCAAGAATTCGAGGTTTCAGTGAGCCACGGCCGTGCCACTGCACTCCAGCAATGCAGCAAGACCCAGCATCCAAAAAAAGAGGGAAGAATGCCAATTGTACTGAGTGCTTTGTGCCAGGCACTATTCCAAACTCTTTCATATTATCACTTCACTTCTACTTCACAATATCCACCTGGAAGTCATTATTTTTCTTCCTTGTTTAGTTATAAAATGGAGACACAAGAAGTTTCCTAAGTAGCTCAATATGGCAGAGCCAGTAAGTGATGGAGTAACCTAGTTTGACTCTAGCATGTCTTAACCGCAGATGATCCCTTGACGATTCCTCCAAGTACAGGGCCCCCCTACTCAATCCCATCTTAAATATCAACTCTGAATACCCATTAATGTGTCAACATTGGTAATTAAGTCTCCCCAAACTTGATTTTAAATGAATACAGTGAACCCTTTCCTAATGTTTCTCTGCTTTGAATGGTAAATAGGCCCAACGAGACAATTCTTGTGTTTGTGTAATTGAAAACTTTTTTTTTTAATTAAAAAGGTTCTATTTCAGAAACATATAAAGATGGGATGAGAGCCAAACTTAGGTGAATACAGCAAAACTAATTAATCTTCAGAGAACATAAAACCATCAGGATTAATATTACCAAAGGGGGAGAAAGTGACAGAAGAAGACTGATGCTGAGGAGATACAGTAAAATATTCTATACATACATTCCAAATAGTAAGCAGTGAGGCAAAATGACTCCACTGAACTTCCAATCCTCATCAGAATACCAACTGTGCTTCCCAGCTTTCTACTTCTCAGTAAAATCGAAGTCTTAAAACAAATGCTTTAGTCTTCCCTGAAATTTTTTTTTTTTGTTTTTTTTTTTTTTGAGTTGGAGTCTCACTGTCACCCAGACTGTAATGCAGTGGCCGCTCCCGGCCACTGCAGCCTCTACCTGCTAGATTCCGGCGATCCTTCCACCTCAGCCTTCCAAGCAGCTGGAACTACAGGCCTGCGCTACCACGCCCAGCTAATTATTTATTTATTTATTGTAGAGATGAGGTCTCGCCAAGTTGCCAGGCGGGTCTCGAATCCCTGGACTCAGGCAATCCTCTCATGTCTGCCTCCCAAAGTGGTAGGTAGGCTTACTAGTCTGAACCACCGGCCAGGCCTCAATATTTCTTAATTACCAAACATCACTGGAAAGACACATAATTTTGTTTCATGGTTTTTTGCTTCCTCTTTTCTCTCTCTCCTACTGAAGCATACGACTTTTAGGAGGCAGGAAACAGAAATCACTCATTTTCCTTCCTTCTCTACCCCATCTCATTCAAGCTGAGAAAGAGATGTGGTGCTTCTAATAATCAGAGCACAAAGACAATAGCCAACAACTAATTAAGTAGACTTTTATTGCTCAATCACCTTCAGTAACATCTCCAAAAAATAGTTTTCATTTAACAATTATGGAACAAATTTGAAAGGCAGGATGATTCACAACTTGGTAGAGACTTGTACTTCATATAAATGAAAAATATCAGCTCTATAATTTAAATGTTACTTTGGATTTTATTATAAAAGAAAACACTGTGATTATAAAAGTCATAAAAATTGGACTGTATTGTGAAATTACACCAAGGTATCAAACTTTACACAAATGAACAATAAAATTCAATTTCTGCTTATTTAAACATAGTAAACACTGGAAGAAAACCTCCCCCTGCAAAAACAAAAACACCTTAATAATCTAAAGCAACAAAAGAAAAGCCACAACACAAAAACTAATCAATGTGCAAAAATCTGATTTTAAAAAAAAAAAAAAACTGGGGTTGAACAATTATGCTAAATGAAATGTTGAAGTCAATATGTGCTAATTAAATTTTCAAAATGTTCTTAATTTACATTTCCAACTATGTTTTCCTATAATTGACACAAATTTTACTTTTTAAAAGTTAGAAAAGAGACAACTTTGCATTAAAATTGCCAAATTTTGCAACTCTATTTTAAACTCTGAATGGCCTTAAAGTCTTTAAATGTACTTTCTAAACAATAAATAATGTTGGAATAAACCAGAAGACATTTCACATATTTGCACTGCATACGATAACAAGGATGGGATCTACATAAATAAGCTTAAAACATTAAGTTATTTAATATAAACATTTTTTAAATTACAATGTTATATCAATGGCTTAGACGTCCGAAATCTGAGCACTTTAAAAAGAGGATTTCCATGTTAATCTGCAGAGCACATTTACAGAGCTGATGATGTCCATGATATAATCCTTCAAACAGCAAGCTCAGGTGTTATACCTCAGTTTCAGGAGCACATTTCTTTTTACAGAATTTTGAACCTGCCTTTGTGAAAGGAAAAAGTTAGAAAGCTATTATATTCCCACAGAAAATGTAGGTATGTGGAAGAAACAATTTTTTTGGATGAAGAAGTTCATAATTTTGAGTGGTAAACAAATCTGCTTTACAAATACATGCATTTGCACATATAAAATTTTGTTCTACACATCTTTTACAGAAGACTTGGCAAATATGAACATTGGTATGCCACAGCTTTTAAGAACAATTTTATATGTCTAAGACTGGAAACATTCTCACACACACACGCAGACACACACGCTTTAGAAAGGGCATGTGCTATACTTCAGAATGTCCAACATTCAAGAGCATACAGAATCAGCCTTTTATCATACGGAAGTTAGTCCATTGTTTTCTCAAAAGCTGCTGTTTGAGGCTGAAACAGCATTCAGAAAAAAGTAAATTTCAGATGATCAGCATCAGGGTTCACTAGGGTCTTTGTAAACAGACATCTATAAATAAATAAAACAGGGTGGAGACAGAAGATCCTGAGGCGGCTCTGTGGCCAGGTATTCAGTAGCACTAAGCTCCATTCTGAAAATCAAGGCAGCTAAGAAAGTGCAGGGCTGTTGATCTGAATTTATTTTGTAAATGGAGTATGTACACGTTTAATTATTTTGCACCTTGAGGTAAATCAGTACACAGCAATGACTACGGCTTATATACAACTATTTAAGGCAACATTTAAAAATCAATATACGTAGTAAATTATACCTTTTACTGTCTTGCAATGAATGCTATCCATGATCGTTATTTTGCAAAAATAGTGGAGGAAATAGCGTAACTACTTACAACAAGCAGTTCATTACTTAAATATGAGTTACCTTTCTCTTCAATGGAGTAGTCATATCAGATCATTTTGTAAGTCAAGTAGTCAAAAGAAAGCAGAAACTGTTCACAACTAGAAGCATAGTAAAAACATTCTGAGTGCAAAGTATTTTGCAAATCGTGGTTTTTCTGGCACTGCATAATTACTGTACATCATTAAATAAAATCACAGAAACACTATGATCCCAGGTAGTTTTCAGTTTAAAATCACTTCCTGTAAAAGAAGTACAGTTGTTAACCCTTTGATGCCCAGACACAAGGAAATGATGTGAGGAAATCCTCTTGTTCAGGTACATCAGGGGAATTTTAAAAATAGCAGCAAATACTGGGGTCTTTGGAAATGATTATGCTGCTATGTAGAAAAAGGAATCACTTCAATGGAAGCTCATAGATAATAAGCACCGTGGGGTAATACTTACGAATTGCCCTCAGAGTCCACCTCTTTTCAGGTAGAACCGAATGATATCAGCTATATGTTCTAAAGAAAAGCAGCTACATTTCCAGCCTCACATCTGAGGCACAAGTTGAATCCATCATTTTAACTAGAACCTCTCAACAAGGTCTCGGATGAGGAAACTGCATTAGTTAAGAAGAAATTTAGGATGAAGTAAAAACGCCAGAATAGCTAAAATATCAGCTTTTGGCATTCCTCATGACCAATTCTTCACACTTCTGTACTTTAATTATAAATGATTAAAGGGAGCCCTGGAATTTCATTAAAATTTTCATCCTAATATTTGTCACCATTTTTTATATTTCTGCGGCTTCTCAATACTCGAGTTTTGCAAATTATTCTCTTGTCAAATCAGTTTCACAACCCCATTCATCCAGTCCTACAGGCTAAACAAGAACAATATTTATTTATTTCATGTGGAACTAAGAATATATAAAAATGACTAAAAAGATTTGCTAGAAGCTAAAAAGCTTAGACACTAACACAAAATAGGAAGAATGCCATCAGAGTCACACATAAAATGTCTGATTTCGTTTTAAAATATAAATATGGCAGTGCTTTAATATCAAAGATGTAAAATCTGTCAATTGCTTTCAAATAATAAACATAAATGCAAGTGAGCACCAACTATTTACACTAACAATTTACTCTATATTTGTTATTTTTCCAAATGTTTATAAAATATTTAAGCATCACACCAATTAAAATAAATAAAATATTTCAAAATAAAATCAGATAAGAATCTATCATAGTCTACATAATAGAAAGAGTAACATAAACAGAAAATAAAAAGTAATTCTTAATAGAATAAAGTAATACTGATCATAAACCCATCTGAGAGAATTCTGACTCCTGATTATATTTAATCATACTACTCATAATAGAAAAATAATCAAGAACTTGAGAACATGATATAACAATCATTTAAAACAGAGCAAAGGCAAAGAACAGAGTGGGAATTATGGGCTCTACAAGAATATAAGGATTCAGGAAAAAATGTCTACAAAGGCAACAAAATGTAACTGTTGCAAATTGGCATTTCATAGCTTTTAAAATTCATTAAGTTGTAACTGATATGGGTGCTTAATTTTCAAATCACCTGCAATTTTACTTGTCTGTCACAATGGAAATCCAGATGTGGAAGTTTTAAGATTTAAAAAATTATTTTAAACATAAAAGTTAAAAACTACGGTTCTCATCTAGAACGTTTCCATTGTTCCACATTCATCTCTATGGCCAAGAAAAGGCCACAGTTTGTGAAACATGATGGACATCTACAGAAATTAAACACATACATGTTACCATTTTCCCCATAGCGCTGGCATAAAAACTCCCTGTCCTGCCCATAAAGCACGAACAAAAGCGAAATAATATGTGAAAACTTTTAGAAACATGTAAAAATTACAAACATATTAACAAAGCATGTGTCGCTTAAGGTTGATACGACTTGCCACTGATGAACAAAGAGTCAAAAAGAAATAGACCGAAAGCATTTCTCCACAACTTTCTATCGCAAAACAGAAAAAAGTTCTTCCAACAGAATAAATATTTGACTAGTGAGAACCATGTACCTTACTTCTAAGAGACCATTTCATTATATACACAGTCTCCACGGTGCTCATAACAAACTTCAGACACTACTTTTAAAAAAACCAGTAGTCATGCACGAATAGCATGACATACAATATTTTTTATATATAGCAATATGATACACACATATATGTATATATCTATATATAATTTCTCTGGGTTCAATTCTACACTGAAGTTTCGGCATCCACATATTTCTTTCTTGGTTCATCTTCAATGTTTATCTTCACACTCACAGGTTTTTCAGGGCTATTTAAAACAAAGAATAGGCGTAAATAACTTTTTAACAGACAAGTATTAGATTCTAAACATGGCCAATAATGAGTATCAATATTAAGCCTTCTGGGTTTACTATTAACGCTATACATTTAAGACCTGCTATTATAACTGTACTGCCTTCTTTCAATATCAGTAAACTAGAAAGGCAAATATTTAAAACTTTTTCAAAAATTTCACATATTTGCAATTGAAATTTATGTTTTTCTTATAACTGAAGGGGGGGGCCCTAAAATTGGACAGTATATGACTTTTATTAGTTATTTTTAGCTATTTTAGTTTATATGATATGATTTATTAGTTTTACTTCAAGTATAAACAGTAGTAGTATGTGACTTTTATTTCACTGACAAGTCTATTAGTATGTGAAACTTTGTTAATGTAAGTATCAAACAATTTCCTATAGAAAGTAACAAATTTACAAAACTTCTTTCCCAAATTTGGTTCATAAATACAAGAACAACACATCTACTTTAACTTTTCAAGTCGACTGATTTAATTGTAACATGTGAATATCTGAAACAAATTTCTCAAATAGTATACAAAACACACTATAGTTTGCTGCCTTCTCCAGAAAAACTAAAGAAAGGTCCTCCGCCACACATTTTTCTGATAAATGACATAGCCAAGACATTCCCTTTCTTGCCATGTGATTCTGAACTGCAAGACGATCCAAATGAAAAGCAGAAATATACAAGATATGCTAGTATTATTGTAAGATATTTATTTTTATCAGAACTATACTAAAAAAAAAAGGGCCAGCAGTACTGACAAGGTATGAAAAATTACAGAAAGTAAAAAGAATATTTAGTAAAATTCTGGCTGCCAAATGATCCAAAATGTAAGAGTTTAACTTTAAAAATTTATAAGGTTAAGAAGAAAAGTAAAGACACAACCCAACTCAGAAATCGGGAGGGAGGGAGGGAGGGAGGGAGGGAGGAAACATGATGACAGAGATGAGTAAGAAAATGGTTCTAAAAGGAAGCAGGGAAATCATAAGAGCCAACCAGTTATTATCAGAAGACAGAACTAAAAAAGAGAGAAACTAAACAGAAATAGCTATTGACTAAAAACCTGCAAGTTCTGATGCCCAAGCAGAATAAATCAACACCCAAAATAGTGACTCGCACAAACTGTTCACAAAAGAAATCTTGTTAAATATGAATGATAAGACAATAACTCATTTCTTCAGAGACCTAGGGGAATAAAGCGGTAACGATTATAAGAATAAAAACCCTGTGGGCTCAGGCCTTGAAGTAAGGACAAAAGAAAAGAAAAAAGGTTACATGGCTAGAAATGTAAGGAAGGGGTTATATGATATTTTCAACGCGTGGCTTTTATACTGACAAATTGAATGTCTTCCAAATATCTTCAAGAAAAATGTTTATCTCACCTGAAGAAATGGTATGTTAAAACAAAACAAAACATAAGAGAACAATTGTGTTCATGTTTTTTTCTTAGCCCATGAGAAAGCACAACTAAGGTAGTGTTCAACTATAGTATTTAATAGCTAGTAATTCTTTCTTTATATGGTTTCTGGTCTTTTATATATTTACTTCACACAGTCAAATGAAATTTATTATAAAATAGCTTCAATTCTTTTTTGAAATAGGAAACTATGATTTAAAAATAGCAAAACATAGTTACTACCTATACCTTATAGCATACGGTAAGATGATGGATGAAAGGAAGAAGGAAAAAAGGGTAAAAGCAAAGAATTTTTTTTAATGTAAGAAGACTACCAATTAGATAAATTAAGTTAAATTTAATGTCTTGACTGCAAAGCTAACAAGCAAACTGAAAATCGGCTATAGTTAGAAAATGCATAAATATTATAACTACCTCGTGTTAGATCTGGTTACTTTGGCATTCTCAGTATTCATGGCAAGTGCCTTCCACTGTGCAGTTTTGGCCATTTCATCTGATATGTTAACAACTGAGGGATCAACACTGAAGAACAAATATACTTTATGGTTAGTATTCAGTACTTGCAAAAGCACTAACATTGTCATTCTTATCATCTATCTGCTTTCATCAACTTAAAATAGAGAAAACCCTGTCATGCACTTAAAAGATCTAGCAAGGTATCCAAATTTTGGAGTTTTGTTACAAAGTCCTTACGGAGTATTATATCTTTCTTTATGATCAAAACTAGGAACAAGATTAAGACTCTGAAGTAACCAGGACTCAGCAAGATTTATTTATGGAACACTGCTTCAGAGTCCAATCTGGGGCTTCAGCAACACTCTATCAATGATGCCCTTTAACACTCTCAGCTGTAAATATCCTACTGAAATAACATACAAAACTATACTAATGTGCTTATGAGTACCAAAAAAAAAAAATACAGTCTCAAATCAGAAAGCTCTTATAATTGGCATAAATTTAATCTCATCAAATAAATATCCAAAGTATGTAAGGAAAAATTAAGATTACAACTTTAAAAATACTGTTTTTCTTGACTTTTACAAGTCATTAAAAGGAATGCTTGAAAAGGCCACACTTTAAAACTGAAAAAAAGCTCTGAAAATATTTCAACAGATAATACAAAACAGCCTCCTAAATGCCACTTTTAGTTGGCATTCATATATTTAATGTCAAAGTGTATTCTATCAAATTTATCCAAATCAAAAGAACAGAACACTACCCATTTATTATAATAAGAAAGTGTAACCATTTTATATTCCTATGAAATATTATAAAACGTACTTCAAGACCCCAAATTCAATAATGATGATATCCATAAATTATTATTTTAGGGTCAAGGCTGTTAGTTACAAGTACTATGCAAAATATCATAAAGTTAATAGAAATATATTTGAAAGTTCTATTTTTTCATCAAAACAAACATTCATGCAAACAAGTTACAAACAAATGTCAAAGTAGATAATGTAAAATTACCATTATGATGGCAACTAGGTTATAAATGACTAACTAACATTTCACTTACTTAGAATGTGGTTTAAAAATGTACAATTGCAAAGAAGTGTGAAGTGGTCACTGAAAAGTCTTCTATGTATAGCTGCTTTACCTTCACCAAGTCAAGTTTTTTTTAAGAACACAAAATTTGAATGCCCAAGTTTACAACAGCAGAGCCATCCAACCTGAAACTCTGCCTAACCTGAGTAAACGTTTACACATTTACTTGGTTGCCAACTTCAAATAACTAAAGAAAAGAATTCCTGATGAGTTTTTAGCTTCTAAATATCCTTCTCAATGAACAAAGTATATGTTTTGCTTTCCTGCCAAATAAAAATAGATGGGAAAAACTTTGCCTTGAATTATATAAATTTTCACATCAGGGCTTTACAGTTTCCAAATGCTTTCATATATTATCTCATTTGCTCTTCATGGCAAGTAATCCAAAGCTATTTAAGGTAACAAGTAAGCAATCTCCTGGCATTCTTGATGTTAAAATTTTAAGCATAGCAGCATTAATCAGGGCTCATGTCATCACTTAAAAGACAAAAGGAAAACTAGATATCCATTCTTTTTCTTAAATATCAGACAGTATGGACTCCACTTAAATTTGTCAAAGTCCATGTATAATTACACTGATAAAGTGATAAAGCAGGACATAGAAAATAAGTGGCAAACACTCTCAGCAAATTGGTAATAGTTACTAATAACCATCATTGCAGTAGAAGTACATAAATTAATTCATAGTAAATGTAAATTTAGCTGGATATACTACGATTTCTATACTTGGCTTTTTTAATTTAAAGTATATAAAAATCTGAGGAAGAATTGTGAACAGTAACCCAAAATACTACCAATAATATGTTCACATGTTCTCACTCATAAGTGGACCTTAAACAATTATCATAATACTGTAAGAAAGGGATTGGCAGTAGTGGGAAACTGCTGGGGCTGGCGAGTGTGGGAAGGCGGATAGAGGAATGCACCTCATCGACAAGTGAACCTGCATAATGGATATTTGTATATCCAACCCTGAACTGTACCCCACATCTTTGAAATAAAAAAAATGTTTGAAAAATAGCAAGAAGTGTAGAGGGAAATTAGCTGATGAATTCATCCACAACAACTAATCAACATGTACAAGTCCAAATGTGACCGCTGTAAAAACTCTAAAGAATAGTTACAAATTTTTAAAAAACTGAAGAAAGTTAATTAAATAACAACAAATATTTTCTAGCAACTGGCTAGGGGAGAAATCTATATATATTCTAAAACTGATTAGCTAATCAAAAATGGAACAGATATGTCAAAATAGAAACTGGATGTTACACAATTACAGTTTGTTGACCTTTTAAAACTATTTTAAAATGTGCATTTCTCGACCTCTATATCCTTAGTTCTTAAAATTAAATATATAAACCACCAAAATCACATGATAAATGATATATAAAACTTACTAATAATTTTCCACAACATGAGCACTCACTGGCATTGAACAAATTATACCTTTGAAAACTAAAAATTTTAGGACCTCTAAACATAGTTACATATTGGAGGCTCTCAGAAAATGGATTACTGATATCTGAATAGATACAGATAAAGATTACTTAAAATGTTTCACTTTCCAGCACCCACTGACTCCAGTCCTAATGAAGGGCACAGAGGAAAAAGGTATACTATTGAGAGACTGGAAATATCCTCAGAATTTTAAACTCCACTATAACAGATGGAATGATGGAGGACAAGTAAATCTTACGGGTTTGGTATGAAAGTTAATTTAAGGCTTTCATCCAAGTCCAGCTTTTTTTTCATTCCTGCCTACAACCTGGCGGGGAGAGGATGAGGAACTTTTTCTTCACATTGCATGAAGCCCTCCTTTAGTTACATACCAGATGCAGATTTTATCATCTTTCTAAAAATAGAAATCACTACTCGAAAGAATCATGATATGGCTTATTAATGCACTTAACATGTATATAAAATACATTTTCCAAAATAAAGTTACATCTCACCTATACTTTAGGGCCTTAACTGGAATTTGCAAGAGACTTCCCCCTTCATAAGGAAGGTGCACAGTGTCATCGTCATCCTGAAGCATTCGTTCAGCTTCCTTCAGAGCACATATGTGAAGAGATAACATTTCCAGTAAATCAGTTAAAATATACTATTTTAAAGATTTAAAAACCCAAACTGACAATATTTTAAAAATAACGTATCTGCCATGACTGAAAAACTCACTTACAATTAGGAACACATACTTGTAACAAAATAAAGACAACCACTCGTAAAGACTAATTTTAAAATAGCATAACTTCAATTTCCATAAGTCTTTTTAAGTAAGCTTTAAATACTACTTTAAAATAGTTTACATAAATCTGATGATCAATTATTATGTTGGTATACAATGAGACACAATTTTGTGAAACCTCATGTTCAGTAGCGGGAAACGGCTGGGGC